GATTCCTTACCCTATTTATTTATTATTTATTAAATGTATTTGCCACCCATCTAACCACTCTGGGCAGCTACCTTAATGTTGATAATATTGATAAACATTCATATTAGGATTTTCTCTCTCACACAAATATTAAAGCATATATTGAGTATCTGCTCAATAAGAGAAAAAGCATGATGAGCAACATTTAGCCCCCAAGTAGTTTTTCCATCCACCCACATAATCCTGCTCCATTCCAAGCAGTTCTAGTCTTACTGCTTGGAATGGAGGGTGTCAGATGACATTAGTCTTACTGGCTGCCAATCCTAGTGGAATGCTGTTCATAAACAAGGGCAGGAAATGCTAGTTAAAACTTCTGGCTCTTTTAAAAGAAATGAATATAGCATTACCAAGGCTTTACAAAAATTAAAATTAAAAAAAATCCCTTTTCATCATAGATTACATTAAAAGATTCTGTCTTCATGAGTTCTGACAGTTGCTTCAAAGAATCAAAGCTAGCTTTGAACTTCTGGTGTGCTTGCATGCATACACATATTTTTCCTTTTAAAAATAGTATTTTACACTCTCACACATACCCACAGCTTACTGCCTTCTTTTTTCCCCCAGAGAGATTATTTTTTGTGAAAATGGGAAAATGACCTAAAGCAAGCTGTATGCTTATACATTTCTCTTAAAACATAGCAAGATGTAGACAAACAATGCTTATTAGCTCCAGTGCTTAATTGGCAACCAGTTGCAGTGACTAAGGGGGATTTTAATTCTTTGCTTTTGTTATACATTGTTGATTTTTACTTACATTGGAATGTTGGAAAATGCTAGGTATATAGATGGGGGAGAAAGGTGTATGCAAGATATTCTTGGATCTAAGCCATGGAAGACACCCGATCTAGTTCATAGTTTAGATAAATATTTGGGAAGCTATTCAATTTGACTGTCTCCAGTACAGACACTCTATTAAAAACAAAAATATGATTTTTGGCAAGAATACGCTTTGATGTGTACAGAAAAAAAAAAGAAAAAATACCAAGAATAAGATGTCTGAAGAAGTGTGGGTGGCATAAACTTCAAAAAATATGGACATTTTCCCTGGACAGTTTTATTATATTTATTGTTATTATTGTGTTGTGTCACAAGTTTCAAGTTTTTTACCTCATTTGAGCAGATTTGAATATGACTTCAGAGCAAAAATACGTGTTAAGTCTGCACTCTCATGGTAAATCTTTTCTAAACAAAAGAGAAATCTTTGAACTCTGCAGAGACGCTGAAGATGATGGCTTAGCTTATATTTACATTTTTTGTTCTCAAAAACCAGCAAATGGTTCCTATTGGTTTGTGGTAGAATTCATTAGCAGTTGAATCTAGAGGTTCAATCTATAGTATATGGATCAAAGTAATGCTTTGGATTATATATACACTAAGCCCACAATTGTTCTACTCACGGTTTGTTGTACAAGTCTCAATGGCTGGATTCACATATAATATACAACAATAAAATATGGTTTATATAAAGACTGGGCTCACACAATCTATAAGCCAAAATCAGCTGAACAGCATTGTGAATGTACAAACCCAAGCACTATGTGCCTAAATCTAATCAGGGATAACAGCTTTGACCATGCTTCCACCACTGCCATTTTCCAATTGTTCCAATTGCACAGGTATCAGGTGTGATTCTGCCTAGCTTCACCTGCTGCTTCCTGTCTGTTAGGAAGCTTATGATCCACTTACAAGTGTGTTCAGGTACCACTAGTTGGTTTAATTTACTTAGAAGAGTGTCTGGAATGATGGTATTGAATGCTGAACTGAAGTCTACAAAGAGGACCCTCACGTAGGTATTTGGAGATTCAAGGTGTTGTAGGATGTAGTGCAGAGCCATATTAACAGCATCATCTGTTGATTTATTTGCTTGGTATGCAAACTGCATGGGATCCAACAGTTTTCAGGTGGGACAGCACAAGCCTTTCAAAGATTTTCATAACTACAGATGTTAGAGCAACTGGTCTGTAGTCATTCAGTTCCTTGATGAAAGGCTTCTTTGGCACTGGGATGATAGTAGAGTGTTTGAAGCAAGAAGGAACATAGCACATCTCTAGTGATCTATTGAAGATTCGGGTGAAGATGGGGGCCAATTGGTCAGCACAGACTTTTAAGCAAGAAGGAGTTATCTTGTCTGGCCCTGATGCTTTTCCTGGCTTTTGCCTAAGAAATAGATCTTTCACTTCTTTTCCTGTGATCACCAGAGATTGTGAACCCAATGGATTGGTGTTGGTTGTAGGAGGCTTGGCTGTTGTTGGTGTGTTTGAGATGGGGGTTGTAGAGATAGGTGGCTGTAGTTTCCTTTCAAACCTGCAGTAAAACACATTCAGGTCATCTGCCAGTTGTTGATTTCCTTTAGCATGGGAAGGAGGTTTGCTGTAACCGGTGATATTTTAAAGAGTTTTCCACATGTTTGCTGGTTCATTTGTTGAGGACTGATTCCTTAACTTTTCAGAGTAGCTTCTTTTTGCTGCTCTGATCTCCCTTGTTAATATTTCTGGCCTGATTCTCTAATGCTGTTCCTTCTCTTTCCCACCCTCTTATTCAATGTTCTTCCACCTTTACAGACCCTTTGAAAACCATCCCCCCACCCTCATTTGTAACTCTAAGAACACCCTCATCCAATTGTGGTTTCTTAAGCTGATTCTGTTGCTTGATAAACAGGCTCTTCTCTTGCTGGGAATGATTCACAACCTTGTCTGAAGGGAAACCTTGTGGGTATGAGTTCCACCCACAGCACTACATTGTTAGAATGACGCCATCATCTACATTCTGCATTCCTTCCAATAAGAGCCATATAAATCATATAAGAGAAGAGTGGGGGAAGAGTGTGTGTGTGTCAGTCTCAAAAAGTTTTTTGCTAGGTGTGCGTGCTTCAGGCATTCTGAGGGACAAAGACTGTGAAGGTGTCTTACACATGCCTTTTATTAACATTTGTTAGTTGAAAAAAGTGCTTTCTGATTTATTACAAAAGGCTGACATATTTATGATTGCACCAGTCTTCATGGACCCGAGTCCATTTTACCTAATGCAAGCTTATGTTATGGTACATTTATGAAATGCTCCAACATTCCCACTTCGTTTGCCAAACATGGTATCATGTTATGTGGCCACAATAGTAACATGTCACTGTCTCCAGAATGTGCTTTGTAATGGATTCCCTGTATATAAAAACTCAGGATGTCTGCAGAAGATCTCTTTCAGGCCAATCCTTCTCACAGAGTTGTTATGGGAAAATAAGAAGTAGAAGAAACATTATATATGCTTGCTGCCTTATGTTACTAATAAAGTAATAAAGGTGGGATAAAATCAAAGAAATAAAGATAAGTAATATTATATTTAAATTGTTTTTGTTAGTTTTGTGTCTTCAAGTCAGCCTTGACTCCTGGAACATTTTTTCCAAGGAGAAAACCACACCGCCCAACACAGGGAGTATATAAAGAGGGAGCAAACCACACATTCACAAGCACTGATATTACCTTTTCAGGTAATGAACCGTTTGCAAGCAAACAACCAAGATAGTACCAAGGTCTCCATAGTTTGACCCTGAGCTACATATATTTTTTTCTATCGGGATAAATAATGAATAACCATGAAGAGGATAGAAAGCCCATCTATCATCCAGTTGGGAAGTCTCTCGGATTGATTACAAGTGCAATTGTTTTATTGTGTGATAGAAAATCCCAATAACTGAAGAAACCATGCTGTGTATTTCACATATACATGGGCCTCTGCAGGGGCAAAATCAAGTCTTATTTTCTGCTATCCTCAACTGTAAGCTGAAACAGGACCTCTCTGAAAAAAAATGGACTACCTAAAAGGCAAGCACTCATGTCTTCTTTATAATGGAAAATAGGTTTCAACACATCAGTAACTTCCTTAAAGAAAAGAGAACAAAGCATGGAAGAAGTGATGAAAGATAGATAGCAAAGAGCTGAGGCTTCCTTTTTCAGTTCAGCAACCTTCTCTGAAAGTTGCCTAGAAAGGGGAGGAGACTTTTATCTGTGCTGTAAGATCATTAATTGTGTTAGGAAGGCCAACTAAGCAATGTCTAAAGATTTGGGTCTTTCCAAATCCTGAATATATACTTCCTCTCTCATCCTGGTCGCCTTGGGAGATGTTTAAAGTCCTAACTTCCAACACTGAAATCTTCTTTCTGTCTACTATCTTGTGGCCTGGCCTGTTTTGAGGAGGATGGGCTCAGATAGGACATCTTGTGTTTTTTGAGATCAGAAAAGCTATGAATAGTGGCTACTAATCACAATGGCTCTACATTATCCCTAATGTGAGCGAGTGGAATGCTTTTGACTATCAGTTGCTGGGAACAAACCACAAATAAGAAAAGCCTTTTATGCTCCTTACTACCCTCTGGGCTTCTGAGAGGCATTCAATTGGCTGCTTTGGGAACAGGAGACTGTTTAAGATAGGACTTTGCACTTTTCTTAGATAGGACAGCAAAGATACTAAATCAATACCAGAAGAGCCACTAGAAATCCAGAAACATTAGCTTTGAAGACAATCCTTATCGATTTCATAAGAGTTATTTTTACTTTGCAGTAACAACTATTGCCTAAGACAAATATATTGTAATCCAGCTGTTTAGGACCTGGAATCTTCCAGGTGTGTTCAATTCCCATAACCTCATGCCACTGGACAAGCTGCCTAACATACCAGATCACAACAGGAGGCCATCTTGGAAATTGGTTGGAATCCCTTCAAGTAAATACTTGTAGTCAAGTCTGAACATGCTGCGTTGCACTGCCCAGTCTTAGACATATTCATTTAAAAGACCCATAATATTTATTTAAAATAAATATGCCTAGGAACAGCTCTCAAATAAAAACTTTTTTTCTTCAGCGCAATAAAGTTTTAACATGTTTAATGAAGTGCAGGGGAAAATATCGAATTATAATACAACTTTTCACAAATTATATTAAAAATCCATTTATTTTTGTATCTTGTACATATACAATAAATGCGCCTTACAGAGAAATTTTGAAAACAAAAAAGTTAAGTAAAAACATAAATACATATATATTTTCTTACGAAATGTCAGATTTACAAAATGTACATTATGCATTTTTAGCTTGTCTTATGCTCATTTTAAAAATTCCCAAAGAAACCAAAGTATCAGAAACAGGAAAATCAGATATTACAAATGAATCAGTGGAACATTTTTCTTCCTCTTTATTCCCCAGTACTATACTAGACATTCTTTTCTCCCTTCCTTTTCAATTCTTCATTTTTTAATAGTGGTAATATTTTGTAAAGGTATCCATTCATTAAAAAAGATATTGGTGCATTCTGGAGAAGGAAGGGGAAATCCAAGTATGGCTTGTTAAAAGCCCCCAGTTCTCCAATTAATCTATTGGATAAAATTAAATAGAACCCCCTTATGTTTCCAGAAAGCTAGCTAGTGAAATGTAGCATTTCAGAAAGGCTTCTTCTGAAATCAATTTATTTCCATCAGTGGACTCTTTGGTGAAATGATACATATAATGATGTAAAACTTTAACTTCAGACATATTTAATATGCTGATCATTCAAGAAAGGAATGCAGGGAATCTTGAAAGAAAACACAGTTTATGAATAAGACACATCAATTCCAGCATTTCCTTAAGCTGAAAAAAACCTATCCTTATCAGGAATCAGATTCTACTGAATTCCACAGGACCTTTTCTAGACAGGAGTTCCTAAGACTGTAGCACTTTCAACAGAGTGATTGTGTGCAACCAGGGGAGTCTAAATCCTTGAATCTAAACTGGATGCAGGATAGAATGGGGTCTTTCCCAGGTACATCAACATAGCCTTAATCAAGGTAATCTTTTGTTGTAGAATTAAGGCTGTATTCCTAAATGCCCCCACTAATGAATAAACTCCCTGAAGTAGTAGTACTTCAAGTCCATGTAAATATCTGCAAGAAACTGATTCCCAATGAAGGCCACAATTAAGAATCTATTGGTTTCAAGGGAATCTAAGAGCATATTGAGGGGAGCACTGGGGGGGCCTCCCTGATTTGACCAGGACTGCAAAATATCTTTTCCTCCTCTTTCTCAGATTCTAGGTTTTCCCTCGGCCCCATTTATAAATCAAAGAACGATACACATGATCAGCCAGGGAAACCAACTCTTAACCTTGTGAATATAAAACCTCATAGATACTTTAAAAGGCTTGTTTGATTATTGGCTGTTTTGTTGTTCTAAATAAAAGGTGGGGGGGGGGAGAGACAACCTCAGCTTTTCTCCCGTTACACAGGGTTTCCTGAAAACCCTTTCCCTTGTGTTCATAAAAAGAAAATAAAGAGCTGCATTACTCACAGCTCTAGCTGAACCTCAACAAATTCTTTGTTAGTTTCGCCATAAAAACCAAACCCCTGCTTATGGTTTGCTGCAGAGAAACCCACTTTTGTTTCTCTTTTGTCTCCTCTAACAAAAGACAAGAGAGTTAAAGCCATTCTATCAAAAATCAACATGTCACTTCTTTTTCAGACCCTTTTCTTTCCTCCTCCCCCCTTGCTCCTCCCTAAAATCTCAGCAAGACTCTTTTGCCAAAACCCAAATCAGCCAGGAAGAAAACTTTGAAAACTGGAATGCAGAATTTTCCTTACAGCCTGACCAAACCCGTGCACTGCGGATTCAGAAGTTAAGCTCAACTAAGTGTGAGGTAACTTGCTCCCAAGGCAAGTTTGCATAGCTGGAAACCATTATGCCTTTACTTAGGAGTCGGTCCCATTGAATCCGGTGGAGTTTAAACTTCCAAGTAAGTTTGCAGTGGACTGCACTGCTACAATATGGAGGAACCCCCATTAAGACTTATTTGGCAATTTCCTTTTTTAAAAGGAGTGAACATGAACACGTGTGTGCATACACAAACACACACTTTCTCCCTTCTCAAAGCTTCCTGGGTAACTTTAGAAAGACTGTAAACTAAGATGCTGATTTGGGGGAGGGGTCTGATTTGGCACCCTGTCACGCAGTAAAAAAGTAGCTTGTTTTTTTTGCTCTTTTTGTCCCAAACTTCCATTCTTGGCACTATGCCACATACTCTAAACAGATACTGCAGAACCATTTGGAAAGTGAGAAGGCCATGATGAGGGAATAAGCAAATTCTCAGAGAATAAGATATTTATTCTGAAGCACAGTCTAGAGATGGAGGGTCTCTTGGTGAGAAGCAAAGGTAGTCAGTCTGAAGGAATAATGGTCCAAGCCCTTGTTCCTTGCAATGCAAGGGGAGAAGAAGCCAAGGGACCCTCATACAGCAGTCTCTCCTTTGCTTCCAGTGCTGAGTCTGTGGTAAAAGCGCCTCCAAGATTGGAGTGTTTTGCCAGTCCAAATCCAGAAGCCAGTTGTGATACCCACAATCATGGTCATGAGATACTTGATCAAAAAGACAGTGAAGTCGGGGCTCATTGGGGCAACATTGGTGGGGCAAGCAATGGCATAGCTTTTGCAGCTCTGCAGGAGCCAGGTTTTCTCCCACATGTCCCGGAAGGCCTGCTCATAGAAGTAGCAAGCCAACACAATAGTGGCAGGCACTGTGTAGAGGACACTAAAAATGCCAATCCTCACCATGAGCTTCTCCAACTTTTCGGTTTTGGTGCCATCATGTTTCATGATGGTCCGTATACGGAAGAGGGACACAAAGCCAGCCAGCAGGAAGGAGGTGCCAATGAAGAGGTAGACAAAGAGTGGGGCCAAGACAAAGCCCCGCAATGCGTCTACACTGTAGATGCCCACATAACAGACTCCACTGAGCACGTCCCCATCCACCTGTCCCATGGCTAAGATGGTGATGGTCTTGATGGCAGGCACGGCCCAGGCAGCCAGGTGAAAGTACTGGGAATTGGCCTCAATGGCCTCATGGCCCCACTTCATGCCAGCAGCAAGGAACCAGGTGAGGGAGAGGATCACCCACCAGATGGAACTGGCCATGCCAAAAAAGTAGAGGATCATGAAAAGGATGGTGCACCCTTCTTTCTTGGTGCCCTGCACCACAGTGCGGTAGCCATCTTCTGAGAAACCTTCCACACACACCACTTTGTCTTCCAGCAGGAAGCCAGCCACATAGGCCACTGCCACCATGAAATAGCAGCCTGAGAGGAAGATGATGGGTCGCTCAGGGTAGCTGAAGCGTCTCATGTCCACCAGATAGGTCAGGACAGTGAAGAGGGTGGAGGCACAACATAGGATTGACCAGATGCCTACCAGTAGACGGGCAAAGCGAACCTCAGCCTCCTTGAAGTACATCAGCCCATTGGGGCGTTCTGGTTCACAAGGGGCACCACAGTCCCTCTCACCCAAAAAGCGGTAGCCCAGGTAGGGGGGTACTTTGAGCTGCCGTGGGCAGGAGAAGCCAGAATTGGTGGGGCGCAGGGGGTGAGCTGTGGGATGGGGCAGATACGGGGTGGGATAGGCGGTGGCACTTTCGGGGGGCCCTCCTCCCGCTCCCGAAGTGTCCGAAGTATTCTGCCCCACGCAGATCTCACCTGCGCCGTGCATGGGGAAGTTTTCGCAGCGGAGCCGCTCGGGCCACTGGAAGCCAAACTTGTTCATCAGGGCCTCGCAGCCCTGGCGAGCCCGCTCGCACAGGGATCGGCAGGGCGGGATGGCCTGTTCCAAGACGGTGCAGACGGGCGCGTACATGGAGCAAAGGAAGAAGCGCAGCTCCGGCGAGCACTGCACTTTCACCAGCGGGTAGAACTGATGGACTTCCAACCCGGCGTCTTCTTGGTTGGTGTGCCCCAGGAGGTTGGGCAGGATGGTCTGGTTATAGGCGATGTCCGTGCAGAGAGGAATCGAAATGGGCTGACAGAAGCCGTGGTCCGGGACAGAAATCCCTTTCTCCCCATGGTAAGATTGGGCGCCAGAGCCCCAGGGAATCCCGCATAGGACGCCCAGGAAGACGACCAGGCCCGAGGAAGCAGGCCTCGTTGCTCTCGGTCCTCGATCCATGATCCGAGGCAGCGGCAAGGAAAAGAACAAGCGCGGCGGGCTGGCAGCAAGCGGCGGGAAGCGGGTCTTCACAGCCCACAGGCACTTGAGTCTCAAAGCATCGGCGGCGCCCAGCCCAGACCCCCGAGAGGGCCAGCGGCGGCACAAGGCTGGCTTCGCTCTTCCCGCAGTCTGCTCTCGGGTGGAGGAGGTGAAAGAGGCGGATCGCTCGCCAAACCGGCTCTCTCGTTAATCGCTCGCCAAGGGCTGGATGGTAATTCTTTGCTAGGGTTGCAAGGCGAAACGCTACTCCGGTGTATTCTCTTCCACCGAAGACAGAGAGAGCTTGACGGCGCCCAACCGCGTCGTGTTCTTTCTTCGGTCGGCCGCGAAGCAATCTTGGGACGGAGGAGCGGGGGGTGGGAGGATCCTTCACAACTTCGACCGCAGGAACTGGCTTCACTTCCCAGCTGGCTGTTCAACCCCTCCAAAGTTCGTGAATTCAAGAAGTTGGCTTACTCTTACTTCTTCGTTTCAGGCGTGCCTTAATCGACGAGTTCGGTGTGGAGTCTTTGTTTTTGGGGGAGGGGGAGGGTAAAAAAATCCAATCACTCAATTATCTCCTTTACCAGCAATGGGGCTAATCCTTTAAAAAGAAACATGAGTAGTCCGATATCCCGTCGGCGCCCTTACGCATGGAAGATAAAGTCTCTCTCTCCAGCAGCAACAGGAGAGACTAGCTGCCGTTGGAAAAAGCAACATCCACCCTAAAAGCAAAAACAAAACAAAAAACAAAACGGGAAAAAAGACGTCCCTGCACTTTGAATATATATATATTCGTGTATGTGTAAGTCTGTATTCCATGGAACTCCACCCCTTCGCCCCATTCACAACCGAACAGCGGGCGGACCATAGAACTGAAGCTTCTACCAATGGAATATTCTGTTGCTTCCGTACCTCGGTTGAGGGTTGGACAGAAAGATAAAAGCCTCTAAAAGGCATGGATTCTGTAATGGTGGATTCTTCTGCAGAAAAGTTGAAAGAAAGTTTCAGACTTTTGAATGGAAGAGAGGGACGCTTATTCGCGCGGATAGTGGAAAAAAAGAACGGTGTTAATCTCTGGTAGGCAAAAATCAGAAAGAATCTGGTTTTTTAAAAAGAAGACGCCGAGAGAGTGAGAGCGAGAGAAATCAGGACATAGCTGAATGCCTGGATCGCATACAACTGTGCTCGAAATTAACTTTTTCTTCTTTTTATAAAGGGATTTTCCGCATATACAACAACTACGGCCCTCCTAAAATAACTTTTTGAAAGCCCGAAATTCACATGCATGATGGCCTGAAAAAAATATCTTTATTCACTGAATTTTATAGAGTTCTTTTACCTCAACTAATTGAATAAGATTCCCCTCCATCATAAATACTTAAGAGCCGGCATTCAGAATAACAGCAAATATTTTGAAAATGTGAAAGCAGTAATTGGGGTTGTGGAAGATAAACCTGAAACCACATAGGTTACAAAAGAAATAGACTTGAGGCTTTTAAAATGTTTTCTATACTAGTGCTTTAAATCCCCAGTTGCTTACTTTTGAGAATATATCCTTTTTTAAATGGTGCAAAACTCATAAGATTGAATACATGTTTCATCATAAAAACCTCACCCCCCAGTTATGTGTACAAGACTTTGGTTAAATACCTTCCGTACAGCAGGAAATATGTAAATCCAAATTCACAAATCAAACTGGTATATGCTTGCTCTCAATTTCTTTAGCAGGACACCAAAAAATTAAGGAAATGGTTGGAGGAATGCAGCTTGAATTAGAAACATTTATTAAAATGCATTTAAACATCTATTAAAATGCATTTATGTTGAATTTTTCCTTTGCTTATAGTAAAGATTATTGAATACTTTTGCTTGTCATAATTTAAACCTGCTGGGGATCTGGAGGTGGAAATTACTTGAAAGATAGACTTGATTAAGAACTACCTTCATGAAGCTTGGTCGAATATGCAGTGTAAATGTGAGCAAATAGCCTCGTGAACATAACCCAGAGATTAATGTCCCAGCACAAGGATTTGGGTTTGCAGCTTTAGCTTCCCAATCACATGTACGTTTTAATAGAATAGAATAGAATAGAATAGAATAGAATAGAATAGAATAGAATAGAATAGA